CGCAGAAACAACCATGCCATTAAGCGGCAAGCTATAGAGCTCAAGTGCACTTTAGAGGGACTGTAAAATAGGGTCAGGAACGTTTCTTAAACTACAACTATTCGTTAACAGATTGGCGATTCAGCCATTTAGTTCGCTGTCACCAACAAAAGGTAATCCGCAAGTACTTGAGAAACTGACCTTGTGATAGGACATAGAGCTGAAATGCCTTGGTAAATGCACTTTGTTCTGACGGAAGGTAATAACTTGTCATTTTTGCGCGAACACGATAAGTTCGCAGCAGGTCTCGATTATTTCCCTAGAGGATTTACACTAATTTGTATGCCCTGTGAAATGACGAAGTTTGGAGATGGCTTACGGTTTTCTCGACTGTAATATCTGCTTAACTTAAGGCTCAATCTGTCGCTGCAATTGTATTGCCAGAGTAAACGCCGACCAAAGGATCTTGAAATATTTTATGATTAGGTGGCTGAGTGAAAGTTTTTTGACAATTTGCCTAAATTTGACCAAGAATTGTACGGAATCCAAGTGCGGTACTGCACCTTACATCGTTTGCCGTTCACAAGCACGTTCGATCACTCTATAGAAGCAATTTTTCACTGTTCCCTTCTGCGGATTACAGAAGTGTTGCCTTTCTTAGTTTGCTCTCTGGCGGCTCTCGCGTAGGCTCGAGTGACAATTCGGAAGGAATATGGAGATCAACCTTTTAGTGTTACAATTCTGCAAGCCTTCCTATTCCAGTGTTGACGGGATGTATGTACGAGATAGGCCAACGGGGCCTGTCGATCAACAGGTATGCGACAGCGTAGTGTCACCGTTTTATAAATACTGTACGTCCCCTAATTCTACTTGTTTGACGCATAACGCTGTTGCTTCAGCCATCTTGTGAATTACTCCTCAACATTCCATGCATTTTAGATAAACGCTAGGCACTGAGCTACATATTTCAAGTCTTCTGTGTCAGCAGATCCATAAATAGCCCTCATAATTTACATGAGATAATCAAACTTAATGCGACAGTACATTGGCAATTTGTAAAAAATGGAAAGAAT